CCCAGACATCCCACTTCATCCTCTGCTGCACCCCACCTCGCTGCTACTGCTTCCCTCTGCTGCCAGCCCATCCTCATCCACCTACATCTTCCTTGGTAGCAGCCCCTCCTAGCAAGGTGGCCACTGCCTAGGCATGGTGGGGAGAGCACTGGGAACTTTTGGGAAGCACTGCTGCTCTGCAGGCAGCTGCCAGCTACAGTAAGCCAGGGTGGGTCAGGCTGGGTACCACTGGGTACCCTACCTCCACCCCCACTGCCTCCTCTCCTCTGCCTGCCCACCCTTATTGCTGCTGCCAGGAGGCAATTCATTATTGATGGCAGCTGCCTGGATCCTGCTGGAGGCAAGGGAGGCTCAAAGACCATGGAGATAGGATGGAGAGAGGGAGTGGGCAGCTTCCCTCTGCTTCACTGCCGTCCTCAGGAGGGGCACCAGGCCAGCTTGGGAGCAGCCAGGGGGAGCCACAAGCGCTCCCTGGAGAAAGAGGTGGCAGCATGTGTGGATGTAGCACCCCTCTGACCACAGTGCCCTGGGCGGTTGCCTACCTTTTCCACCCCCAAGACTGGCTCTGGCTGCAATTGGGGAATGGAGAGAAGTGGGGATGACATGGGTACAGTTACCAGCTGCCCAGCCCAGCTGGCTGCTACACCCAAGATCAAGCCAGAGAGTGGGGGACTAGGAGAAGTGGCAGTGTCACAGCTTCCACTTGTGTGGTGGAACTGAGAGAAGTGGCAGCAGAGTCTAGCCTTAGTGCAGGCATAGGCAACTCTCCTCTCCATCACCCCCCACCAAACTACTGATATACTAAAGCCACTTGTCAGCCCACAACTTAGGAAGATTGCCAGCCCCTGTCCTTAATTGAAAGTTGTCTTCCAGGCAGGGTAAGGGCAGTTATTTGACCAACTAAATAAGAAAATAGGTCTTGGATATAAAATAAGATTGCTTTGGGTACAAGAAAAGTCCTTTTTTTTAAAGCCATATTAGATTTTTTTTGCTTTTCGCTACAGAAGTTGCTTTGTTTAATTTCCAGTATTAAAGCCCCAACTTTATCCAATAACTCAGTCACTTTTAAGGAATGTTGTATTTTGCAATCTTAAACAAAGAAATTAAACAGAGATTCCAGCAATGTTTTTAGAATATGAATGAATTGGTAAAACTAATAACGGGTATGTCCATCCATACCCCTGCAGAGCCCCCTGAAGTTCACTCTGGGACAAAGACCTTCAAAATGCCAACAGTTATTATTAGGACATTTAGTCTCATTCAGTCTCATCCATTGAGCTGGTACAGTGTCGGCCAGGCCTTTCCCCCACCCCCAGCTTGCCATGACTTCTTACTCTCCAGTTCTAAGACATACTTGCTTGTAGCAGGCTTTCTGTTACAAATATGCAGTTATTATTCAGAAGGCAGAGTAACATTACTTTTAGTTATGTAGTCCAGCAACTTCAGATTCATATTTAAATTTAAAATATATTAAAGAGCAGACAGCCTCTAGAGTACTGATTAAACAGTGTAGTGTGAGATCTTTTAGGAGTGCTGCTGCTGCAGGATGCTATGCAATATTAGCACTGTTAGATGTGCAATATGATTCATAAGATACACCCAGAGATTTTCTATTGCAGTCCACAGCATCAAGGACTTTCTGACCTGTTGTGGTATATAGTTTGCTGCAAATTGCTCTATTATTTTTCTGTAGCCAAAAAGGTAGTTCAGTTTTTGAAATAGGGTTCTGCTAAATTCAGAAAAGTTATGGAGGGGCAAGTTTGTTCTAAAAAGTTTCAGAACCACTGGTTTAAAACAGTAGCTTAAAAAGTAGAAGTTACTTTTTTTTTTTTTTTTTTAAAAACTCTCTCCACCTGAATACCACCCTCTTCCCCACCCAGGAACTGACTTGATTTTGACCAGTTTCTTGGACAAATCAATATGAAAAGAAGAACCCATCTTTAAAAGAGCTAAAAGAAATTCAGAAGCTTTGTAAATAACTGCTTGAGTGATTTTTTTTTTCTATGCTCCTATTAATATTTCCTGTACTATTTGGGTACAGAACTTATCTTGAATACTTGATTACTTTGAGTGGGCTAACAGTAATGCCTCAGTGTTCTTGTCCCTATAATCCCACACTCTCAACTCTCTCAAGGGAAGAAAACAGTTTTTAGATGATGGAATGATGCCACAAAAATGTACAATCTTCCCATGAGAAGGAAATAAAGATACAAGGAAGAATGAGGCAATTAGGCTGTATTTTAAAATAGTTACCCCTCCTCCCCTGGAAGAGATACGTACAGTATCCATACAGCCCTATGTTAGCTACTTAGAGAAAAAAAAAAAAAGAGTACTAAAAAGGTACCCCTACAAGCTCAGAGTCGATAAGCAATCAAAATTCTCTTAGCCCAATGAAAATATTGAATCAAGGATAATACTGTTGACTGGAAAACAGCAAAACGTTTTAGCTCATTTTAAAAACAGTGGAGAAAAACATGACTGAGGCAGCCACAGTATCACTGGTGTGAACTCAGTGACACACACCACTTTGGAACAAGTTTGGAGATGAGATATAGAAAAAATGCATAAAGCAAGGTACCATATGCTATGAAAAAGTGTTTCACCGTCCAGTACATCCCCACACAGCTGAGTGTGACATTAAACTACTACCCTTATCTGGTAACATCTGTCTCTTCCATGACACAGCCCTCCAGACAAGGTAATGTTTAATTTCATGTCTTCAAACAGTAGCCACAGTTTCAGGACACAAATACTCTCCTGTTTCACATTGCTTCTAAACATGCATGACACTCTTAATACTCCTTTTCTCATTTTAGGGGCCTGAGACCCAAAGCTTCTTCCTGGGATCTTTTAAGAGCAATCTTCCCTCTCCTGCCCAAAGAGAGAGATCCCCTAAAAACAGTTTCTGACTTTTTTTTTTTTTTTTTGGTAAAACTGTAAGCCATTTGGTTAGGTAAAAGCTGAAGATCATGCTTTCTTCACACAACTTCCTTCCCCCTCAACCTCCTCCATCCCCCAAAAAACCTAACAGTTACCTGATCAGCATCCTCTGGGTGTGGTTCTAAGTGATCTTTCACACTCTTGGTAACCTTTTCTCTGCTGGCACAGGTGTAAAGAGAGCTTAAAACATGGAAAGGAAGAAGGATCCAAAGAAAGATGAGAGCCATGCAGCATGTTCCAAGCTTGTTCCAACCCTGGAGGCCTTAGCACTTCCAAAGTGGGATGGACGGTACAGATGTGTGTGTAGTGAGGGAATGTGGAAAGGTAGCTGAAGAAAGTGATTTTTTTCCAAGGGTAATTTTGGCAGGAGGCATTTGGGGACAGTAGTGCCTTGTCTATGCTAAAGTACCACTGTTTTTGCAGTGGCAGATTAGGATGGGGGTGGGGATGCCCGGTGCATTGTACCCTGCTTTGATTCCTGTTCCACCCAAAGTTTAAAATCAACTGCCTGGCAGGAGCATTTGCAGTCAGGCAACAGTGAGGAAGACCATTGAACTCATGGCTCATTATAACCTACCCCCCACTCCCTTCTAAACTCTTCAGTCCACAGGTGTTAATGACCCTCTCTCTTCTTTTTAATCGTCTTGATGTTCCACCAGTCAAGCTATTTTTTGTTTTGCTGTCTGTTAGCTGTTCCTGGTAAGGAAGGTCCTATTTTACAGCCCTGCAGGTTTTCTTTTTTAACTCATTCCAATGAAGTTACAGCTGTTTTCCCTTCAATCTTTTACTGAATAATACAGCCCTGGGCCCCTAGCATCTTAGTAAAACTTCTAGTTTATTTTTTAATGGGAGGAAAACTGTTGTGTAATCTGTGATGATGCACCTCACCCTGTGCACCCCTTTTTCACAAGTCTAGATCCACCTGTGTTTCTATAAACACTTTGCACTGATTTTCCGCAGGGCCCAATGTCATAGGCATGAGTTCATGCAACAGTTTTCCCCCTTTTACCCCCCAAAACCTGCATGCATTAGGTTCATGTGCCCACAGCACCTGCATGGCACCAGTGTACCAGCGCAGTTCTGCCATGAGTGGGCCTCCTCGTGCTTGTTGAGACAAACCCATTGGCATGAACGACACATGCCCCTGGAGGCTGGGGGGGCATGGCAACTGCCTGCAGGCGGCGGAGTCGGCAGCAGGGTTGTGGTGGCAAGCAGGGAGCTCCTGCAGGCAGCTGTGATGGTGTTGGCAGCAGGGGCAGGCTGAGCAGGGAGCACCTGCAGGCGGCTGCGGTGGTGTCGGTGGCAGGGGGGGGGTGGCAAGCACCGACCAGCAGTCGGCAACCATCTGCAGACGCCACCAGTAGCGTTGACAGTGGCCAGTGGAAATTGGGGACTGCTTGCAAATGCTGCCAGTGGTGTCAGTGGTGAGCGGCGACTGCCTGCACCATCAGTGGCACTTTTCGCAGGGGGTGCACTACCAATCTCGGGCTGCACGTGCACCCACACGCCGCCAATGCCCATTGGATGCTTAGCAATACCGGTTCCTCCGACTGCCGCGGCCCGCTCCAACGTTGGTCCCTCCGCTTGTGGCAGGGATGGCTCAAAGGTCAGCCCCAGGCAGTGCCCTAGCAGTGATGTTTGGTGCCTGGGGCAAAGGCTTGCCCTGTGCACAGATCCGGGGGGTGCACGCAGTGGCAGGGGCAGCCCTGCCCAAACGAG